CATCCTTCACGTTTAATTCCTTTTGCAACACGATACCAAGCTTCTGCTGCCTTAGTCAATCCATTATCAAGCAATCCCTCCTTATCTATCAACAATTTTCTTCAGCTCTCTGGTTGTAACCGGCCGCTGGGAGATATAGAAATACCACAGATCTTAGCGATCTTCCTCACCTTAAGCACAGCCTCCTCACCTGCCCTTTCTCTCACAATATCACAAGCCAGCTGTCCCTTAGATGGCCTAGCATGCTCCTGTCCCATTCTCAATACACAAGTCATCACTTGAGAGAGACAGAGATGGAAACAGGAAAAAGAACGTCTACCATGCTAGACTGCCACGAGAAATAAATGTACGTGCGTCTTCCCAAAACGTAGACTAGTCACGGAATCCACCCACCTGGAGTAGCGGTCATGGATTGGAGCGAGGCGAGTAGTGTGTGACTAACACTGCTCTGGATTAAAGGTACAGTAGAGGAAGAGTGAGAAAGTGAAAGTAGAAATGCTAATAAAAAGACACTTGCAAGAGTCACAAATAAAAATATGTGCACATAGTCTTGAATCAAGGATAAACCACACAACACACACAGATGCAAACAAGTCACACACAATGCAACCCCAACTAAGCAACCACCACAATGCAATAAAGAATAACAACGTATCAATCATAACAATAATAATAAAACCAGCAATCCCTGTTCCTCGCTGAACAGTATAGCAAATCCCAGCCTCTCTTAGGCGGTAGCGGTCCCTGTTTCTCTCTGAACAGTAAAGCAAATCCCAGCCTCTTCTAGGCGGTAGCGGTCTCTGCCAGCTAGGCAGTCAAGCTAATAATATATAACAATACTATATAATTAACCAATCTTAAATCCCCAAACACATTCACACTCAGGATTCACATGCAGGAGGCAGATATACAATCAACAGGTTCTGATAAAGAGACACTGGGCAAGAATTTACCTGTCTTTGATGCCTTCTGGCGGCCGGAGTGGACATGGAGGCAGGCCAACACAAAAACAGGAAATATAGGCAAAGTGCTAATATGCAATCATTACCGTATATATTAGGAGATGATGGATCAAACAAAGTGTTTGATAATTTTGTATATCTGCCCCTGTCCAAATTGTTAAATTAAATGCGTGCATGCTCCCAAAAGTAATTCACACCGGACACAAGTTTCAGGTTAATGAAAAACTTGAGGAAAGTTTAATCCAGGGGGCCTGTATGCCCCTTATAATAGAAGAATACATCATATGCATAATTATAGATAACAGAGAAAATACATCAATAATTGGTTAGGTGTTAAGTGGTTCATCTAATGTACATCCTACCGGGTGTGATGTCACTGTCATCATGGGATTCTCCTCCACATTCCAGCACCATCCTGTTAATTGAGGTGGTTAGTCAATGGGAGGGGTAATACCCTAGCAGCCATTTTAAGTATCTTATGAATAATACTGATTATAGTTATGCAGAGTAAATAGGCATTTTACTGAAGTTAATATTCTGTCCACAACAATACCTAAATTTAAACTAAAAATTATCAATGCATATAGCTAACACTGCACAGAAATTGATAGCAAGAACCTGGAAATCAACCAAAGCACCAATATTGACTGAGTAACTCCAGTAAATTATCACAGAGCTATTATGAAAGGTGCCTCAAATCATTCTTTTCCCTCTCTCAAATTTATTTAGTGGCATGGGATTTGTGGGACGCATGGAGATCGGGACTGTTTTTGAATCTCTGTATATGAGTTTTAAAAGACCACTTCTAGCAAACCTGAACAGTGCTCAGATCACCTACAGATGGAAGGAAAAGGCCTTATGCATGTCTGAGTTTCTGCAAGGTAGACTATGGAGGAAACTATCTACCCTTAATACTGGACACTATTATTGTATTGAATTTTAACCACTTGCATATTTTTAAACTATGTATCTCTAACCACCATTTCTTTGGCATTGTATCTTAACTGGATGTGCTTGTTCTTTAATATATATATATATATATATATATATATATATATATATATATATATATACATACATGTGTGTGTATATATTTGTGTGTATGTATATATAATATATATATATATATATATATATATGTGTATGTGTATTTGTGTGTGTGTGTATATATATATATATATATATTTCTATGTGTGTGTATGCGTGTTTGCTCATACATACATATATTCTGCAGTTTGTCTTGTCCTGCATGCTAAAGCTAGTTGCTCCCTGCCCTGCTCATCACTGGTTTGTTAACTTAAATGTTATTCAACATTCTGCTTATCTCTAAAGACTTTCTCTGTTATTTCTGCTCCCCTCCCCCCTTATTTTATTGATACCCACCCGAATGTCTTGCTTGACCAATCCTCACCTCCTCTGTGCATCTCCATTCCATAGCTTTTATTGCAGTCCTGTTTTGACCCTATCATCTCTGTCTTCCACAGTCTGCGTTTTAAAAGACCACTTCTAGCAAACCTGAACAGTGTTCAGATTCCCACCCCACCCCAAGTTCCTTATTACATTTATAGATAGAATCCCACACACAACTTTAGATAATTCCAAATAGCAGCTGCAAACACTACCAGTAATGAGCACAATCCACCTTCTTAACCCCTAACACACAGTCCTTCTCCTTACTTCTGCTCATTGTCCTTTCCTCTAATTACCTACTCATCAGAGCAATGCGCTATATTCTCCTCCTCTCCTTCTCTCTCATCTCCCTCAGGATCAAAATATCCTCTTCCACCCACTTCCCTCAACAACACACTCACATTTACATTAATCCTTCTTTGCTACACTCCCCTCTTCTCTCATCTCAAGCCGTGCACTAATTTCTCTATTATCTCTCTCCTGCTCTAACCCAATCTCACCCTAGTCGCTGCCCGTATAAAACCCATTCACACCTCCTGTCACTACTTCTGGCAGCTGGTGACATCTCTCCCAACCCAGGGCCCCTCACCTCATCTGCTCACACTAAAATAACCAGAAACCATGCAAACCTCCTCCAAATACCCTGCAGTTTATCCTCCTCTACCAAAATTCAGTGTGCACTATTGAACGCTCGCTCCATTTGTAGTAATATTAAATCTACAGCTATACATGACCTCATCATCTCTAACTCACTCACAATACTGGCACTCACTGAGACCTGGCTGTCCCCATACCGCTACTCCTGCTTCTTTATGTTTCGGTGGTCTACAGTTCTCCCATACTCCTAGACTTGACTGTAAAGGAGGTGGTGTAGGCATCCTTCTCTCCCCTCAATGTACCTTTCAACCTATCCTCCCTGCCCCTGCCCTACCCTACCTTTGAAGTTCACACTGTACGCCTTTTTAAGCCCACACCTTTAAGAATTGCCATCATCTATCAGCCCCCCAGTCACCCTAAACTATTTATTGAACACTTTTCCTCCTGGTTACCCCACTTTCTTTCCTCTAGCACTCCCTCTCTCATACTTGGGGACTTCAATATCCCTATCAACAAGCTCAACTGCCCTGTTGCCTCTTGTCTGCTCTCTGTAACCTCCTCCTTTGGACTCACAAAGATTTCTTCCTCAGCAACTCACACTGCAGGGAACACTCTTGACCTCATCTTCACCAATCTCTGTACCACCTTTGATCTTGCCACTGTTCCATTTCCTTTGTCTGACCACCATCTGCTAACATTTAACATCTACATACCCCATACCAAAATTTCACCACCATCAACTCTCCAACCTCGCAGAAACCTCAACTCCATCGATCTCCAGCACTTCTCCACCAAACTCCAAACACTCCTTTTACCCATCTCAAATCTCAACTGCCCTAACTCTGCAACCTCACTCTACAACTCCACTCTCTCCTCTCAACTTGACATCATGGCACCTCCTACAGTTAAACGCAGCAAGCGCCCCCAAATACAACCCTGGCCCACCAAGCTGACCCGTTACCTTCAAAAATGTTCCAGAACTGCTGAACGCTGCTGGAGAAAGTCTCACTTTGCATGTGACTTTGTCCACTATAAATTTATGCTGCGCTCCTACAGCATGGCTCTTTCCTCTGCAAAAGTAAACTACTTCAACACCCTCATAAGCACACTGTCCCATTAACCCAAACACCTGCTTCACACTTTTGATGCTCTTCTTCGCCCTGTGACTCCCCCTCCTTCCACAACCTTGTCCACCACAAACTTTGCTTCTCATTTCACTGAGAAGATCTCTACAATCAGGAAAGAGATCTCTAATGTCTCTCCTACCCCTATCAATACATCACCCAACCCCACTCCCCATCCCATCCTATGCACATTTGCACCTGCTACAGCACAAGAGGTTTCTGCTCTGCTCCTGTCCTCCCGCCCCACCACCTGCTCCCTCAATTCTATTCCATCGCATCTCATCCGCACTTTGTCCCCCTCTCTTGCTCTTCCTCTCGCTAACATTTTCAATCTCTCCCTTTCCTCTGGCACATTTCCCTCACCCCCCAATTCTGAAAAAGCCCAACCTTGATCCCAACTCCCCATCCAACTACCGCCCTATCTCGCTACTGCCATTTGCCTCCAAGGTCCTTGAGAGAGTTGTGTACGCCAGATTGACAGACTTTCTAGAATCCAACTCTCTGCTTGACCCCTTTCAGTCTGGATTCCGTGCTGGTCACTCTGTCGAAACTGCTGTTACCAAAGTATCCAATGATTTAATTGCTGCTAAATCTCGCGGTCAATACTCTATCCTAATCCTCCTTGATCTTTCTGCCACCTTTGACACTGTTGATCATCAACAGCTTCTTCACATTCTCCGTAACTTTGGGCTACAGGATACTGCTCTCTCCTGGTGCTCCTCCTACCTCTCCCAGTGCTCTTTCAGTTTTCTTTCTCTGGCTCTGCCTCTTCTCCCCAACCCCTCTCTGTCGGCATCCCCCAAGGTTCTGTCCTTGGCCCCCTACTGTTCTCTATCTATACTGCCTCCCTTGGTAAACTCATCAGCTCCTTTGGCTTCCAATATCATTTATATGCAGATGACACGCAAATCTACCTGTCCTCCACTGATCTCTCTCCGCCCACCTTGACTCGTGTTTCTGACTGCCTCTCTGCTATTTCCAACTGGATGGCTGCTTACTTCCTTAAACTCAATTTGTCCAAAACAGAACTTCTAGTTTTTCCTCCCTCAAGTGCTGCTACTCCTGTGTCGGTCTCCATCCAAGTCAACGGCGCTACTATCACCTCTACCTTGCAGGCTCGCTGCCTAGGGGTTCTTTTTGATTCTGATCTCTCTTTTACTCCCCATGTCCAATCCATAGCCAAATCCTGTTGCTTCAAACTCAAGAACATAGCGCGCATCTGCCCATATCTAACGCCGGATGCGGCTAAGGTACTGGTTCATGCTGTTGTTCTCTCTCGCCTTGACTACTGCAATCCCCTTCTCACCGGTCTTACATGTTCCCAACTTGCACCGCTGCAATCTATAATGAATGCGGCTGCAAGGCTTATTTTCCTGTCCGGTCGCACCTCCCACGCCTCCACGCACTGTTAGTCCCAGCATTGGCTTCCAGTTAGAGATAGGGCCCAATTCAAAATTCTGGCGCTTGCTTACAAATCCCTACATAATGCTGCTCCAACATACCTATCCTCCCTCATACACAAGTATGTCCCGTCGAGACCCCTGCGCTCAGCCCAAGACCTACGCTTATCCTCTGCCTGGATCCCCACCTCTGATGCTCGCCTTCAAGACGTCTCCAGGGCTGCACCTATTCTGTGAAACTCCCTTCCCTCCTCAATCAGACTTTCACCCAGCCTCCACTCCTTCAAAAAAATCTTTGAAAACTCACTTCTTCATTAAAGCGTATCAATTAAACTGTCAGCAGGTTTCTCATCCCCCACCCCATGACTCCTTTCCTGCAACTGTCAAAAATAACCTACCAAGCACTCAATAAACCCTTCTCTAACAAACTATGTAATTCCCCTACTTTAACCCTTTGTGTCACTATACCCCACTCCCTCTAGCATGTAAGCTCATCGAGCAGGGCCCTCAACCCCCTCTGTTCCTGTACGTCCAGTGGTCTGATCTCAAATATGCTTTGGCATATAAGCAAGATGCAAAGGAAGAGATTGGTAATATGATTTTTGTAAAGAAATTTTACAAGTGTTGGAAGGATGAGGCAGGTTTGATGTCTGGAGATGATATAGATCTCTTTAAAATACAGTCATGCCTTGGTAATATGTTGCCACAGTATTCTTTGCTTGTGAAACAATTGATCAGACTGGGCCAATTTGGATAGCTCAGATTTTCTTACCAAGGTTATAGAAAAGGAAAATGCAGGTTGTTTTGACTTAAGAAAAGATTTAGGAAAGTAAGGTTGCTTATTATGCTCAGGGATTGCAACACTGTCCACCTACACAGGCTGAGAGCGAGGATGGGATGGAGCACATAAAGCCCGTGGAAGAGGTGGTCAAAAAGGGGCGAGGGGATGGAGACAGGGAAATCAGGGTTATAGGGGCAGGGGTAACCAAGGAGGAATAGACAGGAACACTTGTTTCAACTGTGGCCAATATGGCCACTGGAGGAATGAGTGTCCACACCCCAGGAAACCCCAGGAAACCCCACACACCCCAACAACCCCACAATTCTCAAAATATGCCCGGTAGGCAAGAACAACACCAGACCCACTCCCAACACCACTGGCCAGCATATCGCTTAGTTCAGGACTTTAGAGCCCTGAATAGTTTAATTGTGCCCATTTCACCCATTGTCCCTGATGTGACATCCCTCATTACAGCCATTCAACATGATGCCACTTGCTTCACTGTCATTGATTTAAGTAATGCATTTTTTCTATACCGATTGATCAAGAGACACAGCTACTTATGGTTTTTACTTTTTGAAGGCTGTCAGTTTACCTGGACACGCTTACCCAAGGCTATGTGGATTCCCCAGCTGTTTATTCGTTGGTACTCCAACATACTCTAAACAACATGGACCACCGGTCATGGTTCCGTCCTTTTTGCAAAATGTTGATGATTTGTTGTTATGTAGCCCTAGCTATGAGGCAAGCACTGTGGATACTGTCAGCAACTGTGGGTCACAAGGTTGTTAAACACAAAATGCAATTGTGTAAATCAAAGGTTGAATAAATCAAAGGTTTTGTTCTGGCTTTAGTCACCAGACAATTGAGTCCAAAACGTATTGAGGTCATTCAGAGGATTCCTACACCCACTATTTGGAAGGAGTTGCTCACCTTCCTCGGCATGATTAATTACTGCCACCAATGGATCCCTGAATGCTCCCATTATGACTCAATCCTAAGGGAGGCTGTACGTTCTGACAGCCCTGAAAATGTCTGCTGGTCACCAGACATGCTAGCTGCATATATTGCCCTTACAGTTGTTATTGTGCAAACCCAGGCTTTAGGACTACTTGTGTATTGTAAACCATTTCATTTGTATGCTTGGGACAATTGTAAAACCATGGCCGCGGTCTGTGCACAAGAGCAAGGAGGCGGTATGCGTCCCATAGCATTCTTTTCCAAAGTAGTTTGAGCTCCGGTACAGGGTATGCCGGAGTGTCTCAGAGCATTGATAGCATGTGCAATGGCTGTTGAAACTGCTGCTACTATCACACTAGGGCATCCTACAATACTTCATGCCAGTCACCAGGTCACTCAGCTGATAACAAATCTCACCACACAACACATGACAGCCCAGCGCTTAAGTGGTTATGAGATTCTTTTTTTAATACCTAGAATCTGTCTTTTGAATGATCAGAATGATCTGTTCTCTAAAGAGGGGAGAATAGGCATACTTGAAGCAAGCTGCTTTATTTTCATCAGTCAGGCACATAGCAAGCACCATTCAATTCCTCATAAATTCATTTTATATTAGGAATCTCAGGCAGCATGTACAGTCTTTTGTAAGATCGTGTGAACGCTGCTCTTTTTACACACATACAGATTGATTTTATTCATGTATCCAAAATTGGTAAGAAACAGCAATACTTACTGGTCATAGTTGATCAGTTTAGTAGATGGCATGAGGCCTTTGTTACATCTAGGGAAGATGCTAGTAAAGATTATTGTTACTGAAATTATTCCCAGGTATGGCTGCCCTCTGCAGATTGGCTCTGATAATGGCCCGGTTTTTGCCAGTAGGGTTGCCCAGGAACTTGCTAAATTCTTGCAAGTTACCTGGCAGTTTCATATACCCTATCATCCACAGAATACAGGGGTAGTTGAAAGGATAATATAGGACTATTAAGGAAAAGCCCAGAATTTACCCAGGAACATGGGTAAATTGGACTAGATATCTACCAGCTATTTTAGCTGAGATAAGAATGAATCCCCACAAGGTGACTAAATTATCTCCATTTGAGATTTTGATGCGATGACCTTTTCCCATACCCTGGGCCAGGGAACCGCTTGTTATAATGTCTTGGGATTTACAGCGAATACAAGAACAATATGTACAGGAATTGTTGATAAAACCGAATGGTATGTATGACAATGTTTCTTCCCAGTTTTCCCTTACCTTCACAGGAACCTACTCATCCATACCAGCCCGGTGACAAGGTGTATATCCGTCAGCTGAACAAGACCAAGAAAGGAGGATACCCTTTTGGACCACCTGCTACTGTGATTGCTGTACCCAGAACCGCTGTCCTCACAGATTCCCATGACATCTGGATTCACGCATCTCGAGTGAAGCTGTGTCCAAAGAGGGGAACCAAGGAAGACTACACCCCTCCTCGCTCGGAAACAGAAGAATTTCTCCTCAGCGAAGCATCATGGCTTTTACACCATATCATAGATTGAGAGGATCATACGTACCTGAGACCAAGATTATGTTGTGCGCTATGCTTTTTGGAGTTGTTATACTCCCTCTGATATTGTTCCTTGAATGCCATTATGAGTACAAGTCAATGGCAAGTTTGAAACCTGTCTGTTTCTGGAAAAAAGACTCTGACATGATGAACAATTCTTCAATACCCCCAGCCCAATTAGGCCTTAGCCCCTCATCTAGCATTCGTCACACACGCCCCCTCCACCACCTTTCTATCAGCATGTAATATGCAATCATTCATTCACTGAACGCATTTGGATGAATTGGACAAATAGTAACCCTTATAATTACCAGTTACCCATATGGAATGTGTCCACAGCTAATGAAACCGATGCATTATGTTTGTTTGAAGGTTCACAGAAAATTGTTAGATCTTATAACGCAGAAATGTGCACAGTTAAGGTTGCATATCAATGTAAACAGACAGGCCTTATTACTTTTAATGATTATATAACTGGTATCATTAATTGGAGAAGGGGACAAATGTTAGTCATTATGAACGACACTGCAATTGAGAACTATACACTACCTTATATTTTTACACCTTATTACTGTCCTTTATCCTCTACCATAGAACCAAAAGTCAACAACGACACACACACACCTATTTCGTCCACATGTATTAATACAACTGCCTTCTTACAAGCTGTACATGTGTCATTAAAAATCACTACTCCTGTTGTAACATTATGTAACACAACAAACAAAGGCAGAAAAGGGAATGGTATGACACACTGTTAGGAGGTGCTGGAACCACTATGGGTATACTAAATAGTTATAGATATGGAGACCCTCAAGAATAAGTTAAACACAGCCAGTATGCATATAGGGACTGGTTTCCATGCTACTGCAAACTGGGCTCCAACTGTTGTTAAATCACAGGTTATAGGATTGGATTTAGATAAATCAATGTATAATTATTTAGATAATTTAACTGTTGCAACTATGAAATTCACTACAGGTCTAAGTAACTGGAGTACTTGTGCCATCAGGTATTTATGGATACAACAACAAGGATTGGCATTAGAAAACACACTTATGATTCCTAAACTAGAGAAGATTAGAGGAATGCGTAACCTCACAGATAATGAATGGTTACTTCTAAAACCCCAATCCACTAAATGCAATGAATGGTTAACTGGTAATGTTTCACATTTTTCATGCTCATGCTATTTTACATTATATCATACATCATCAAAGGATGTTAAATTAGCTTGTCAATTTAACACATTACCAGTACCAGTTTATGATCTTTTTGCCAAGAATTTAACCTGGTGGGCACCCACATACACAGGGGACTATATTTTTCCCAAAGATAACACACACAGGTAGCCACACATATCCTAAAAGGAGAACTCCTTAAGGTGAGTTCACAAATTCATTGGTACGATGCTTTTACTGGTTGGTCCCCTACTGGATCCCAGATAATGAAATCATTCTTCTATCCTTTTGTTATTATAGTCCTGATTTTATTGTGTATGATTTTATATAACTGTCACCTTACTTGTACATTGAGGAAGAGAGTACAGAAATTAATCCATAATGCAGAACAGAAACAATTATAAATTCTCCTCTCTGCCACTGGAGGGTATTAACCCATATTTAAACTGGGCCTTAGGAATCACTACATGGGAATCGAGGTGAAGAAATTAATGAAAGACCCGCAGGGAGTGACTAGCACCCCTGAAAATACCATGTGGAAGTTTCTCTGTCCTGGTAAGATTTTATCGATAAGATGAGCAAATTAATTGCTCAAAGAGGGGGATGTAAGGAATACGAAATAGTTTCCTTGTTCATATGTATTTTATGCTTTTATAAGGTTTATAAATATTATTGCTGACTGAAAGGATATGAAATAGTTAAACTCAATTTATGACATAATATGCTGACTGTGACAGACTAAGGTATTTCTTTTATAGGATGTAAGACAATGCTAAATCTCAGGATGTTTTGCCCATTCCAATTTCAGGATATTCTTCCCCAGACGTATGCAAAAGCTTATCGTTCCATTGTCAGAATAACATGTAATATAAGGAAGTAATAAATCTTATATAATTAAAAAGACAAAGTGGAAACACCTCCCAAATACCTGATAATATAAGAACAAATTCAAATAACCTGAGATATAGGTTGTAATTCATAAACGGAATCTATATAGAAGATAAAAAAACTGACATAGCGTAATACAGTACTAAATAGGTGAGTGATATATTAGTGGAAATGAGTGCACTCACAAACAAAGTATGAAATCAGGCTTCTCACCCTCCCAAAGGGTAGCAATCTTTGTGAGTAGACAATCCTCCGTGGGATATATAGAAAAATAAGAAACAAATATAGTGAAGCATGTAATTAAATTACAAAATAGTATTTATTGGTTTCACTTACAAGTGAAGAGAAATAGCAGGCATATCTCCAAATAACATGGAACTTCCACAACGATGTAAAAAAGTCCAATAGAAGATCCAATGAAACAGGCAGGATACAATTAAAATGAAATAAAAATAAAATAAGGATAAAAACTACATACAGAATATAAAATCAAATAGCAGCATACATAAACTCAAAGTGTCTATCCAACGCGTTTCGTCCGACAGAAAAGGGACTTCATCAGGGATATAAATGTGATGACACTTCCAGGTATATATAGGGCAATATCCACAATCAACTTGAATTCGAAAAACCCGGGTGTCCAGCGTCCAGCTGGCATGCGTTTCATCCGTGGCGCGCACGAAACAGGATACAGTCCTAGCGTTCCGGAAGTGATGTTATTTCCGGTACCGTGGAACGCATATGCATAGTTCGTACGCATGCACATGATAAACGCGCATGTGTAACATCAATCAATCATACTAAGATGTTATACTGGAACCTATAGGGGACAAAAGATTGGAAAAAAGGGCCGATGATCCGCCCAAAGGGCTGAGAGCCAGGATGAACAAAATTATGCAGACAAAAAATAATAAATAAAATAAAATAAAATAAAAGGCCAGGAGAAAAATATAACATAAAATAAATACACATATAATAAATGTGTATACAATACCCAGTACATGAATACTTATATAGAACATAATAAATAGAAAGACCAGAAACATAGTTTAGACAAACAGAACCTTGTAGACCCCAAAATATTCTGAAATGAGAGGAAATTCATATTACCCCATTTAAAGGAGTATAGATTGAACTTGTCTAATTCAAATTAAACCTTGTAAATCAATTTCCTGATTGAGCCCCTGATGTAAAGTTTTCAGATTAAAAATCCAAAAGGCCTCTTTTTTGATTAACTCTTGTAATTTGTCTCCTCCTCTCCAACCTAAATGAATGGAGTCTATACCGAATGCTTGAAAAGTATTCCATTTGAATAACGGACATGTATTGCAATTTCTAGGAACACTATGATCGACTTTCTTTTTCTTTATATTATTAAAGTGTTCTAAAATTCTGATATGTAATTTTCTCGAAGTACGGCCCACGTATTGAGCCCCGCATCCACATTGTAGTAAATAGACCACAAAGGAAGAAGAACAGTGAATATGTTTCTTAATATTATAGGTTTTTTCAGTATATGTACTTGTAAAGTTAACAATTTTCTTTTTTTGATATTTACAAGTGGAACAGCGTCCACAACTGTAGAAACCCAATATTGGAGTTTTTAATACATTATTATGAGAAGGAGTAGACGGTAACAAACTAGGTGCAAGTTTATTTTTTAAATTAGCTGCTTTTTTGTAAATTACTATAGGGAATTCAGGTAACATATGTTTTAAGACATCATCCCTCTTTAGGATGTGCCAATGTTTTTTAAGTATCTGTTCTATCTTTTTTGCCTGAGAATTATATTGCGTTAAAAAGGCGAATTCAAATTTATTATTAGAATGGAAGCTATTGTTTTTTCTTCTTTTATTAAATCGAACCAATTCACTGTTCCCTTCTCTTTGTTCTCCATCACCAAGTAATAGGGTTCTGTCAGAGGAAAGAATCTCAGTTTCCGCTTTCTCAATTTTATTAAGATTATAACCCTTATCTATATATCTTTGTTTTATAATTGCCGATTGTTCTAGAAAAACTTCCCTAACAGAACAGTTTCTCCTAAGATGAGTTAGCTGGCTTTTTGGAATGTTTGAAAGCCATGGAGGATGGTGAGCACTAGAACATTCAATAGCTGTATTACAGTCTGTAGGTTTGAAATATGTTTTGGTCTTTAATTGATTGGATTCTATGTATATTGTTAGATCCAAAAAATTAACAGAAGTGATGCTAGATGTAAAAGTGAACTGCAAGTTGTAATCATTATCGTTAATATACTCCGTAAAAGAGTTAAGACCCTCCATAGTGCCATCCCAGATGATCAATACATCATCTATGTAGCGTCGCCATAGGACCAAAGTACCCCCTATATGTTCGCCCAATCTGACGTGCTGGCCTTCCCAATGGGATACGTACAGATTGGCGAAACTGGGGGCAAATTTGGTACCCATGGCGACGCCACACAGCTGAAGAAAGTATTGGTTATTAAACCAGAAAAAGTTCCTTGTTAGAACAAACTGAATACAATTAATCAAGAATTCGATTTGGGTATCATGTAAAGATTGTTGTTGTATAATGCCTTTAATATGAAAAATGTTAGAATAGAGAGCAGTTATATCCGCAGTAGCTAAAATATATGAAGGTTTCCAACATATAGACTGCAAATCCTGTAAAATGTGCTTTGTGTCTTTGATGAAAGTGTAATTTAAAGGAACATATGGTTGTAGAAATAAATCTACATATTCGGACAAATTGCAAGACAATGAATTAATTCCGCTAATAATAGGACGGCCTGGGGGTGTTTTTGTATTCTTGTGTATCTTTGGTAGAAAGTAAAAAACTGCCACCTTGCAATTGGGATTCTAGATATAATTAAATTCATCTCGGTTAATTATTTCCTGTTCTAAACCTAAAGTTAATAAGGTATTTAATTCCACCAAAAATTCCGATGTCGGATTTTTATCCAAAATTCTATAAGTGTTTTGATCATTAAGAATATGGTAAGCCTCTTGCAGGTAATAAGATTTATTCATGATGACAATTCCTCCTCCTTTATCCGCCTCCTTAATAACTAAATTAGAATTCTCCATCAAAGATTTTAAAGCCAAACGTTCTTTTTTAGTAAGATTAGGTTTAAATTTACTGTCTACTATTTTATTTATTTGTTCACTATATTTGTTTCTTATTTTTCTATATACCCCACAGAGGATTGTCTACTCACAAAGATTGCTACCCTTTGGGAGGGTGAGAAGCCTGATTTCATACTTTGTTTGTGAGTGCACTCATTTCCACTAATATATCACTCACCTATTTTTTTATCTTCTGTATAGATTCCGTTTATGAATTACAACCTATATCTCAGGTTATTTGAATTTGTTCTTATATTATCACGTATTTGGGAGGTGTTTCCACTTTGTCTTTTTAATTATATGTGATTTAGGTGTTAGTGAGGTACACCTGGTATCTCTCCCTTATATATGATTTTTATATAATTTTGTATAGTGTGTATACTTTATTGCTCTTGTTTGTATTTTCCTATTTCCTCACTATTGTATACCACTATTAACGTTTTATGGCTTCACAAAATGTATCACAAAATGTGTATGACGAAATTAGAAATGAGAGGAAACAAAAAATTGATGCTCTATTTAGAGGAGGCTCTAGACCCACTGACAACTCTTTAAAGCATAAATTTATCCAACTGGAACGTTTATTAGAAAAAGAAACAAAAAAATGGTGGGAAATAACTTCATTGGAACAATATGTAGCATATAACATTGTTCCTCGGGGCCTGAGGATATTAAAGACCCCAGCTTTTGGTCTAGAAGATAAAATATTAGTACAAGAATGGCAGGATGCTAATGATGAATGTTCTAATAAATTTATGTTGAGTTTGATTAACTATCAAAAACGATCCTTAAAACTATTAGAGGAAGACATTAATAGGATCGAAAGAGAGATTTCTCTACATACTGAATCTAAAGCAGCCGAGAATAATTATGTAATTCTTAAAGATAAAATTAAGACTGTAGATGAAAAAATTTCTAATATTAAATCAACTAAGTTTAAGACAGACCAGGATGAGTACCAGAAGGGGAATCAGAGGAATTGGTCCAGATCTAGAAATATGTCGAGACAGACAGTAAACTATCCTGCAAGTAATAACAGGTTTTCAAGAAATTCTAATTCTAATTCTAATTCGTTTTCTGGACGCCGTTTCTCTAATTCCAATTTTAATTCTAATTTTAAGTTTCACTCAAGTTCTTCCAATAACCTATTTTCTAGGAACATGTCAAATACTACACACCATTCATGTGCACATTCCCCAGTTCCTAAGAAGTCACCAAAATCATCCCGATATTCAAAAAGTAACCAGGAGGTTTTTTTAGACAAGGAGCGAAACCTAAAGAAGGATCGTTCCCATTATCAAATATATACCCAACACAGGTCTCAAGCTCAAAAGTCGCCTATAAAGAAACGACCACATTTAGAGGTAGAGGAGGAAGACCCTCCATTGCACCTCTCGTACAGACAAAATTAGATTCCATAGAAGGTATTTTTAATTTGTCTTATACCCCTCTTTCGTTACAAGAATTATCATTATTAAAAAAGGGTTTAAAGTTTGCTCCCGCTTCAAATTGCAATTCTTTCAATCTTTATTTAGATAATCAGAAATTTCTAAGAAAATTAACTTTAAAAAGATTTTTTGGGAATAAGGAACTTAATAAAATGGACATTGAACAGGAGCAACAATTAGTTGATCCATTACACACTATTACTTGTGAGGAAACAGTACCAGAGATATCAACAGAACCCATAATTACACATACTGCTTTAAAACCTAAATCTAATTTTCTTCCATGGACAGCTAAAAGCAAATTCCTAGAAGAGTTTAATGATCTAGTGCAAGAAGATCTAAATAAAATTGTAGGCAGTAAATTTAAACCTAATCTTAATAAAAAAGAACGTTTGGCTTTAAAATCTTTGATGGAGAATCCTAATTTAGTTATTAAGGAGGCGGATAAAGGAGGAGGAATTGTCATCATGAATAAATCTTATTACCTACAAGAAGCTTACCATATTCTTAATGATCAAAACACTTATAGAATTTTGGATAAAAATCCGACATCGGAATTTTTGGTGGAATTAAATACCTTATTAACTTTAGGTTTAGAACAGGAAATAATTAACCGAGATGAATTTAATTATATCTATAATCCCAATTGCAAGGTGGCAGTTTTTTACTTTCTACCAAAGATACACAAGAATACAAAAACACCCCCAGGCCGTCCTATTATTAGCGGAATTAATTCATTGTCTTGCAATTTGTCCGAATATGTAGATTTATTTCTACAACCATATGTTCCTTTAAATTACACTTTCATCAAAGACACAAAGCACATTTTACAGGATTTGGAGTCTATATGTTGGAAACCTTCATATATTTTAGCTACTGCGGATATAACTGCTCTCTATTCTAACATTCCTCATATTAAAGGCATTATGTGTATTAAGGAAATGCTTCAATCCCAACAATCTTTACATGATACCCAAATCGAATTCTTGATTAATTGTATTCAGTTTGTTCTAACAAGGAACTTTTTCTGGTTTAATAACCAATACTTTCTTCAGCTGTGTGGCGTCGCCATGGGTACCAAATTTGCCCCCAGTTTCGCCAATCTGTACGTATCCCATTGGGAAGGCCAGCACGTCAGATTGGGCGAACATATAGGGGGTACTTTGGTCCTATGGCGACGCTACATAGATGATGTATTGATCATCTGGGATGGCACTATGGAGGGTCTTAACTCTTTTACGGAGTATATTAACGATAATGATTACAACTTGCAGTTCACTTTTACATCTAGCATCACTTCTGTTAATTTTTTGGATCTAACAATATACATAGAATCCAATCAATTAAAGACCAAAACATATTTCAAACCTACAGACTGTAATACAGCTATTGAATGTTCTAGTGCTCACCATCCTCCATGGCTTTCAAACATTCCAAAAAGCCAGCTAACTCGTCTTAGGAGAAACTGTTCTGATAGGGAAGTTTTTCTAGAACAATCGGCAATTATAAAACAAAGATATATAGATAAGGGTTATAATCTTAATAAAATTGAGAAAGCGGAAACTGAGATTCTTTCCTCTGACAGAACCCTATTACTTGGTGATGGAGAACAAAGAGAAGGGAACAGTGAATTGGTTCGATTTAATAAAAGAAGAAAAAACAATAGCTACCATTCTAATAATAAATTTGAATTCGCCTTTTTAACGCAATATAATTCTCAGGCAAAAAAGATAGAACAGATACTTAAAAAACATTGGCACATCCTAAAGAGGGATGATGTCTTAAAACATATGTTACCTGAATTCCCTATAGTAATTTACAAAAAAGCAGCTAATTTAAAAAATAAACTTGCATCTAGTTTGTTACCGTCTACTCCTTCTCATAATAATGTATTAAAAACTCCAATATTGGGTTTCTACAGTTGTGGACGCTGTTCCACTTGTAAATATCAAAAAAAGAAAATTGTTAACTTTACAAGTACATATACTGAAAAAACCTATAATATTAAGAAAAATATTCACTGTTCTTCTTCCTTTGTGGTAAATGGGGTAATATGAATTTCCTCTCATTTCAGAATATTTGGGGGTCTACAAGGTTCTGTTTGTCTAAACTATGTTTCTGGTCTTTCTATTTATTATGTTCTATATAAGTATTCATGTACTGGGTATTGTATACACATTTATTATATGTGTATTTATTTTATGTTATATTTTTCTCCTGGTCTTTTATTTTATTTTATTTATTATTTTTTGTCTGCATAATTTTGTTCATCCTGGCTCTCAGCCCTTTGGGCGGATCATCCGCCATTTTTTCAATCTTTTGTCCCCTATAGGTTCCAGTTTAACATCTTAGTATGTGCATTGATGTTACACGTGCGCGTTTATCATGCGCATGCGTATGAACTATGCATATGCGTTCCACGGTACCGGAAATAACATCACTTCCGGAACGCTAGGACTGTATCCTGTTTCGTGCGCGCCACGGATGAAACGCACGCCAGCTGGACGGCGGACACCCGGGTTTTTCGAATTCAAGTTGATTGTGGATATTGCCCTATATATACCTGGAAGTGTCATCACATTTATATCCCTGATGAAGTCCCTTTTCTGTCGGACGAAATGCGTTGGATAGACACTTTGAGTTTATGTATGCTGCTATTTGATTTTATATTCTGTATGTAGTTTTTATCCTTATTTTATTTTTATTTCATTTTAATTGTATCCTGCCTGTTTCATTGGATCTTCTATTGGACTTTTTTACATCGTTCTGGAAGTTCCATGTTATTTGGAGATATGCCTGCTATTTCTCTTCACTTGTAAGTGAGACCAATAAATACTATTTTGTAATTTAATTACATGCTTCACTATATTTGTTTCTTATTTTTCTATATACCCCACGGAGGATTGTCTATTCACAAAGATTGCTACCCTTTGGGAGGGTGAGAAGCCTGATTTCATACTTTGTTTGTGAGTGCACTCATTTCCACTAATATATCACTCACCTATTTAGTACTGTATTACGCTATGTCAGTTTTTTATCTTCTATATATATTCCGTTTATGAATTACAACCTATATCTCAGGTTATTTGAATTTGTTCTTATATTATCACGTATTTGGGAGGTGTTTCCACTTTGTCTTTTTAATTATTATTATTATTATTTTATTATTTATATAGTGCCAACAAATTCCGTAGCGCTGTACATTGGGTGGACTAACAGACACATAATTGAGATCGGACCACTGACGTACAGGAACAGAGGGGGTTGAGGGCCCTGCTTGATGAGCTTACATGCTAGAGGGAGTGGGGTATAGTGACACAAAGGGTTAAAGTAGGGGAATTAAATAGTTTGTTACAGAAGGGTTTATTGAGTGCTTGGTAGGTCATTTTTGACAGGTGAAGGAACGGAGTCATGGGGTGATATATGTGATTTAGGTGTTAGTGAGGTACACCTGGTATCTCTCCCTTATATATGATTTTTATATAATTTTGTATAGTGTGTATACTTTATTGCTCTTGTTTTAATAAATCTTATAGTCTGTAATGAATGGCATATCTCATGGCTAATGTAAGCAAACTATGTATAAAAGCTAGCTCTGGAATACACTAATTTGAGAGTCTTGTCAAGCATCCTGTTGTACGTGTCTTATTGCTGACAATGATTCTCCATCAACTTGATTATGGTGACCGAGGGATCGAGAGCCGAGGGGATTTGAGTCCATTACAGCATTAACCCTTTCAGTTAATGCTGGGAAAATCTGTAGATCATGTGGGAGGATAAATCATTTTGCTCGAGTATGTCTGTCAAGAAGAAAGGAAGCAAGGAAGCTAAATACAATTGAACACATGTCTGATTCTGAGGATGCACTCCTGCTTAGCAATGATGTGATTTACTCCAAGGAATGCATTGGTGCTATAAAGTCTAAGGGCAAAAAATGGTTTGTAGATCTCAGACTGACTAATATATGCTAACCCTGCCAGCTGGATTCTGGTGCAACATGTGATGTCATGAGTATGAAAGACAAGATGAAACTAGCACCTAGGGCACCACTTCAGCCCAGCAGCACCAAGCTGAAGCTATATTCAGGGGAACTAATGGAATCATTGGGACTTTTCCAAACAGAGTGCAGCATACGTGAAAATATACACAAACTTGAATTTGAGATTGTTGAAGACGATCAGAAACCGCTATTGTCTGGTTCAACATGTGAGCGCCTGGGACTGATGCAATTCAGAATTCCTGTGGAGCTGCACAATGTTGATAATCGCTTGCAAAGCCCTTGACTAGGCCACTGACAAAACTGCAAATCCTCAATGTCTATAATGATGTGTTTACTGGCCCAGTAGTATCTGTTCCAGGAGTGGTTCATTTTGAACTGGATCCTACCATTCCACCAGTACAATGTGCCCCACGCAATGTGCCTATAGCCATTAAGGCACAAGTAAAAGCGCAACTGGATAAGTATAAAGCTGACGGACATATTACATCAGTATCAGAGCCAACTGACTGGATAAGCAACATGGTAGTCAGGGCCGCCATCAGGGCATGACAACCGCAACGGTTGTCATGGGCCCGGCGGTCCTGGGGGGCCCGGACTGCTCAGGTCGTCCGGGCCCCACATTCAGTGGGTACATACCGGGTCGCAGGGGGCCCTGCGACCCTGGTATGTACCCACATGGCCAGCCTCTTCTCCTGGGGGGCCCAGCAGCCGGTCACCTCAGGGCCCCACAGAGGCTGGCCCTGCTGACAACCGGCGGGCGGGCGAGGGAGCACTCTCCTCTGTGTGCTTCTTCC